TAACTTTCTCTTCTCAGTTAACTTGATCATTTTCAGAGGCCTTGTAAAACTGCTGGCAATGTGACTTTGAGTAAGAGGAATCATTTTTTCTTGCAAGGATTCCCTTTGCAAGAAAAAAAGTTCAGGTTTAGTTTCTTGCAAAGGGAATCTTAATCCTAAAGAGAGCTCCCAGTCTAAACCCATTGTGTATAAACATGAGGCCTTTTCAGACCAATGACTTGATTTTTAAAAACAATTAAACACGAATTAACTTAGCACTTACCACAGCACCATGGATGGGGGGAAACACTTTTTTCTAATGTTTCGTCCGGCCTGGATGGGGGTGGGGGGCGGAGTTCTGGGGAGAACGGACACACGATTCTATTTGGCTGAGTCCCTCTGCTGGTACCTGAAACCACCGCAGCATCTTTTATCAGCTATACCCCAAGACAAAGCAAAACGTTTAAAGTTTGCGGGGGAAGAAAAACAAAAGATTAAAACATCTTCTTGTGATTAAAAAAAAGAACAAAGAAAATATCACATAATATGATATATATGTTTGATTTCTGCTCCCATTTCCTGGCTTATAGCTTCTAAAACCTTCTGAGTTTTTGAAGTGACAAGCATTGTTTTGTATGCTAAGAAGATACTTGTGGCTCAAGGAGGCTGGTTGTCAAAAGAACCAAGCAAGTGATTAAAAGTTGGAACTTCCGGCCCCACCCCCTGACCGGGGGGTGGGGGTAGGGAAGAGCGGCTGGAGGTTAACTTAATCACAAATGACCGGTGATTTAATCAACACGGCTTCTGTAGTGAAACCTCCATAACAATCCTAACAGGAGGGATCCCTTCTGGATTGGTGAATACGTGGAAATGCTGGGAGGGTATCAATCGCTATGAGAGAGCCGCGGGAGCCCCGTGCACACCCCACCACCAGTACCACGCTCAGGGCTTTGCTTCCGGTTGGCTGTTTCTAAGTTGTATCTTTATTTTTGCTTTAATTCTTTGTGTGTGGGTGGGAGGAAGAAGATAATAACATATTTACTGTTTGATCAGAGGAGAGTTGGGATTTTATTTATTTATTTAACTGGATTGGGTCTTTCCCTGGAGGTCAGATTCTTAATCACTGGACCAACAGGGAAGTCCCTCTGAGTTATATCTTTGATAATAAACATGTAATAGTAAGCAAAGTGCTTTCCTGAGTTTATTTACTTATTTTTATTTTTTGGTGGCACCACATGGCATGTAGGACCAGGGATCAAACCTACATCCTCTGGATTGGAAGCCCACTGGGCCACCAGGGATGTCCCCTCTTTGCTGAGTTTTAGAAAGTTATCCCATCTGAGGAAGAGGTCCTGAGTACTTTATAGTGGGTTTGTCAGAAGCACAGGTGATAATCTGGGGAGGTCAGACTTGTGGGACTGAGTCCTTTACTTACGGGGTCTGTGCCAACTCCAGGTAGGTAGTGTCAGAATTGCTTGGTGTGGAAAACCCACGCAATGGTGTCGAAAGTGCTGAGGTGCGTAGAAGAAAACAGGAGGGTTTTCTGTTTCAGAAACAAAAAGTAATCCACTCTTGCAAGGAAATCTAACCTTATTGTAATAAGGAGGCACACTGGGTCTTATACTCACCAATTCTCAGTGACCAAAATGTACCCTCATTTTTTTTTTTTTTATTTCAAAGCAAAGTTTTTACTTCTTTAAAACAGTTATCACTATTATGACATAAGCTTAAATTCAACCCAATTTGGGCCTTGCTGGCCTTAGCATAATTCCTGAATGAAATCAGGTTTGGAGAAATTTGAAAAATTTAATACTTTATGTGACCCTGGAAAAGTCATTTAACCACAACAAATTGTTGTTATTTTATGAATAACAATAATAGTTCTGTTAGATTATTAACATAGTCAAGGCTATGGTTTTTCCAGTGGTCATGTATGGATGTGAGAATTGGACTGTGAAGAAAGCTGAGCACCGAAAAATTAATGCTTTTGAACTGTGGTGTTGGAGAAGACTCTCGAGAGTCCCTTGGACTGCAAGGAGATCCAACCAGTCCATCCTAAGGGAGATCAGTCCTGGGTGTTTATTGGAAGGACTGATGCTGAAGCTGAAACTCCAATACTTTGGTGACCTCATGCGGAGAGTTGACTCATTGGAAAAGACCCTGATGCTGGGAGGGATTGGGGGCAGGAGGAGAAGGGGACGACAGAGGATGAGATGGCCGGATGGCATCACCGACTCGATGGACATGAGTTTGAGTAAGCTCTGGGAGTTGGTGATGGACAGGGAGGCCTGGCGTGCTGCGGTTCATGGGGTCGCAAAGGGTCAGGCACGACTGAGCGACTGAACTGAACTGAACTGAATCCCCACGCCCTCATTTTTGCTCCCTCCCTGGAGAAGAGCTGCCTTGTGGCAGTAGAAGCACGGTTAGAGAAGCATGGTTCTGGAATCAGACACATTTTCATTTTGGTGTGCTGTTCTATGTGTGTGCACTAGTCCAACTCTTTGCGGCCTTATGAACGGCAGCCCTCCAGGCCCCGCTGTCCATGGGATGTCCCAGGCAAGAATGCTGGCGTGGGTTGCCATTTCCTTCTGCAGTGGATCTTCCTGACCTGGGGATCAAGGCCATGCCTCTTGAGTCTCCTGCACTGGCAGCTGGGTCTTTACTGCCAGCGCCAGCTGGGAAGCCCGCTTTGGTCTGCTGCCTGCTGCTTACTGGCTGTAGGACTTGGGTAAGGGCTTAGCCTCTGGATGTGCTGGTTTGTGTTCTGTGCCACGGGGCCATTAGTGGTGCTTAACCTCCTGTGGTTGTTGTGAGGAGTAACTGGACCACTGCGGAGATCCCTTGGATCCAATGCCGAGAGGAGGAGACCTGCCATCATTCCTTCTGTTACCTCCCTTGTGCTTATGACCAGGCCAAGGAGAGAATGAGCGCACTGACTGAGTTTTGCTCTAGAAGCTGGGGCACAGTCTCCCTGTACTGTGTTTAAGTTAATAGACACAGAAGAACTAAGTTTGCCTCTCCCCACTCCACATATACACTCTTTCCTGTCCCGTCTTAAAAATCTTACACCTTCCGTTGTCATTTCCATCTCCACCTTTCGACACCTGTCCTCTCCCTGCCGGGAGAACTGGTTAAAGGGGCTAGGAAAATGCTGGGTGGTATCTCTGCTGCCTGGTGTTTGCTGGGTGGTGGCGTCTGCCACTGGGGGTCAGCGATTCAGCCTCTTGTTTCAGTTGGTCCTTGCTGACTCCCCTTCTCACCCACATGAACTCATTCACATCCCCACTCCTAGGGAAACGAAGGTGGGAACAAGATTTCAACCACTTCTCAGGAATGTTAGAGAGTAACCAATAATTTTTTTTCCCTTCTAGATCCTTCTCTTCCAGACTAATGCCGATCAGAGCTGCATGCCGCGAGGACTTAGCAATAAAACCACGTTGGCCCAGCTCTCAGAGTGTTGCCTGTGAAGAGGGGCGGGGGCCCAGGTGGATGCTCTGGTTGTCGGCTTACATCCACATGCCTTTCGCATGGGCCCTAAGTCCATTCACTTTCTGCAGCAGTTTCCTGAGATTCATCCTGGAGCTGTCCCCATCTCAGAGCTACTGTATTAGCATCTCTGTTGGATACGAGCACATATTGACAATAGCCTAACTCCTTCCTTAAAGAAACTTCTAAACAACGGCACCACGGTGCATCTACGTGGATAGAGACCAAAATGCAAGTTTCCCTCCGTGTCGATAGGATAGATGTGTACTTGTCTCACTTTTCAATTAGGATGACTGTGTGATGACTCTATGCCTAGTACACTTATACATTACTATCCCGGGACTACGTCTTCTTCATCCCATCAGAACTCTCTGCCCTGAAGGCTGAGGCATCTGCAATGGCCTGTTGGCTCAGTGTTGGATGTTCTAAGTGTGGCAGAGCCGGAGGAGGTGTGTGAGTGACTGCAGATCTCTACGCTAGGCCCTGTGTGGAAGCCCTTTGTGTAAGTCCACACTCTCTGCCGCCGATTCCTCTTTCTCTTGTGTGTGTGGGGAGAACCTAAAAATAGTGTTTGAAAGGGTTGCCAAGATCTTAGCTTTGTGTTGGAGAAACCATCCACTCATCTTATTGCCTGAAACCAGAGTCAAAGAACGTGCTCTGAAATGAAGGTTCAGAAGAAGAACAAACGTTTCCACATTGATTTCCAGCAAGGCGTCCCGCCTTCTACCTGGTTACGGAGGAGGTGAGGCAGATGAGAACACACCCGGGGCTCAGGGCCAGGGCGGGTGTGTGCCTCCCAGCTCTGGGTCCCCGTGGTGTATGCCATGTTTGATGTGTGACTAACCCATCTCAGCCTCGGGTTTTAGGTACAGCAAGTGGAGGAGAGCTCTGCTATGTTGCCAATGATAGAAAGTATTTTTAAATTTAATAAATGCATGGTGTGATTATCCCTTTTTAGAACAGGCAAGAACCGTTCTGCAGTCGGTGCGCTAACTTCCCCCTCTGCAGGCTTTCTCTCCTCTTCCTCCACCCCAGGGACCTGCTGTGGTTCTCTCCTCTAGTGCAGAGTGAAGATCGTCAGGGGAATACCAGTTAATTGCTGCGTGGCTAATCAGCATCGCAAAGGTCAGTGATAACAGGCAACAACTTACTCACGTTCACAAACAGCGGGATGTGACAAAACCAATTTACCTTGATAAATGTACTTCAGAAATCTACCGAGCTTACGCTGTCTCCCTCGGGCTCTGCCTGTCCGTCTTCATCCACCCCTCTCGGTTTCTGCTTCTGCCCCCTCTTCGGGTCTTGTTTCTAGGTATTCCATGTTGCTATCTGGTCCCCTTTGAAGGGTTTCTGTATTCGTTTCTGCTGTCTGGGGGGTTTTCCCATACTACCCCACCATTGCACGCCAGCTGACTGTCCTGCCACGGCCACTCCATCCTGACACCGTCTACCCAGAGGCAGCATCAGATTCCACAGGTTAAGGGCTCAATCCTGCGAGACTGCCCTCTGCTTCAGTTGTCAATCAGAAGCTCAGGATGTCACTTGTGCTTCTGAACCACACAGAGATCAGAGGTCCCAGACACCCCCAGAAATCAGAAACATTTTGTCCACCAGATTACCAGATCACCAGTGCTGGGCCCCCTCTGAGCTTCACTTTTGGCCTGGACTGTCACGTGGGGCAGAACGACTCACCGCGGCTGCCTGTGCCCCTGGTGGCCACGCTGACCGCTGTGCGGGATCAGACTCCTCGGACCATGGAGACCATGAGCCCTCTTGACCACACTCCCAGTGGCTGCTGCCCCGCTTCGTCCTCCTCTGAAATGGGGAGAACGTCCCAGCCCCACCTTTCACCCCAGGACTGAAGCAGCTTTCTTACTGGACTGCATCAGACCGTCCCAGAAGGAAACAGAGGGTCCAGTGGAAAGGGCTTTTGGGGAGAATTTGAAGGAGGAATTCCTGTCACAGGTGTTAGTTATTAATGCTTCACAAACTTTTTTGTTGCCTTATTAACAATAATGCTTAATAACTAACAATAATGAATAAAACAATAATGAATAACTAACTTTTATAATAATAATAATCACACTAACTTCTGTATGTTGGGTATACGAATGAGATCATTAAAGATTATTGAAGTCTTCCCTTTGAGGCTTACAATCAAATTACAAGTCCTTTACACATCCTATGAGGTCTCTGACCCCTCTATACCCACACAGCCTGATGTTTAGACTCTCCAGACCCCTAAACTCTGCTTCATTTTGTTTTGCAAGTGGGCTGAACTGCTTTCCTTCTCGGGGCCTTTGCACCCATCGGTCTCTGTCTGAAACACGCTTCCTCTCTCTTCCCTTCCCTCACATGGCTCGGGCCGCGGTGTCATTTCCAGAGAGTGCCACTCTGCACACTCGTGACGCCGTCTGTAATTCCTTCATAGAACTATGGCAAACAGAAGACAACAGAGGGGATTTCACAGGCCTTTCGTGACAGTGGCCAGTGTAACTCTGAGCATGTGGAGGTGGGCGGGAGGGTTTCTGTACTTAATGTGTGGCCGCTCCATAGCCGTCTCCCCACTGCGTGACTGCAGGAATCACGTGCCCTGATGCTTCCCCAGGCCTGGCACATAAGACGGACTGCCCATTGTGTGCCAGGATCCTCATTTAGGTCGTGTGGGTTACTTCAATCTCCGTTACAGTTCTGGAAGCAGGAATTAGCAATCTGTGGTCCACGAGCTAAATCCAGCATGTGAGCAGCTTCTGTTGGTAAGGAGTCCTGAGAACACAGCGATGGCCATTTGTTTATGTACCGTCTACAGCAACTTCTGGGCTACGGAAGGCGGAATTGAGTAGTTACAAGAGTGATTTGCTTGCAACGCCAAAAGTAATTACTCTCTGGCCTTTTAAAGAAAAGGTCTGCTGACCCCTACTATAAATGGGGTAACAGAATCTCCATTTCACAAGTGAAGAAACTGAAGATCAATGACCTCATATCCAGATTTCAAGGGGCAGAACTGAGACTTAAAGTCCCCACACTTCCTTTATCATCTTTCCCCATAAACCAAATCTCCCTGCTGACATATGTCTAGGAGAGAGCAGCAAATTTCCATAGAGGAGGTGAAAATTTCCTTTGGTCTAAGTCTTAAAGGAAAAGTTGGAATTTTGCCATGGACAAGAAAGGACAAAACATGCTAGGCTGAGACACAGAGGTGTGAGGGAGCTCGGCGCATTTAGGAGGGAGCTAGTCAGACTGGCTAAAACATGATGCCCGTGGTTGTGGGGACAGTGGGCAGAAACTGACAGATACAGAGGCTTCTAGAATGCAGAGACTGAGCCAGACCAGGGAGCCTGAACTTAAGTTTACAAATCGTGCTTTCTGCTTGTCCATCCCTTCTCTCTCAGTGAAATAATTTGAGCATTTGTTCTAGCTATATTTTCCATAAATTATCTACGTGTAACACTATATTAGTACTATACTGTATACATTATAAAATATACAAATATGGAAATGTTAAAAGATAAACTGAAGGTAGAATGAATATCTAAAATAATTTTTAAGTATTAATGGCTTACAAAACTATTTGGCTTCCTTATAATAATGATGATGCTTAATGAGAGTGAAGTTAGTGAATATGCTTAATTATATTTGAAAATCTTGGCTTAACACTGATACAGCTGTTTAAAGCTATTATTTCAAGATTAATTTTCCTTAATGTGTGGTTTAAATGGCATCACAGCCAAAATGATAACTCACAGAGATACATGGATGCAAGTGAAAGAAATGAATTGTTGGTTTCACTTGCAAATTATAATAGGTATTTTTCAAAACTACCCACCAATTATGCGAAGTTTTTGTTTTAATTTGTCTTCTATGTTTACACCTTCCCTGCTGTCAACTGCTTGTCAATATGCAAATGAATTTGAAAGCGCTTTGTTTTCATATTTTATATGATGTGTTTACAATGTGTTCAAGCCACTGGAACTGTTCATCTGGAAATTTTTAAGCAGGTTAGGAAAGTGGAAGTTTAAGTCTCTAATTTTGGCAGTTCTTGAAGGTGATACATATGACCAGTGACAAAAATTGTATAACAAAGAAAATAATTCTAAACATCTAATTTGAAATGCTCTCTCAGAGGTTTCTCCAGGAAATAAACTATTTCCTGTCTCCTTACACCATCATGTTTATGTAGAAGGAACAGATTTTGTGCTTATTTTTTGAAAATAACTGTACTCAGTGACAAGTCTGATTATCTCATTGCTGCATTCACTTCCTCTTCTGGTTGACCGGAGAGTTCAGACGCAAACGGAGGAAACCTCTGTCTTGGCATTTGCTTGTTATTCATTGGCTTCATTAGCATTTTCTTTAATCCACAACTTTTTTGAAAAAATCTCTTTAAGCCAGTTGTCCCTTTTGTGATGGCTGATCTAGTTAAAGGTAGTCTGTATACCCTGTAAGTCCACTTGGCCTGGAATATGGGAGCTGAACTGTGTTGTACTGTGTTCAAGTAACCGAATAGCTGAGGGCTGCACTGTCAAATCCTTGAGGTCAACGCACATGTTAAATGTTAGAAATCCTTAGCTAGCTTCTTTGCCGTTTAGGTGTCTAAGACTAGGAGTCCTGACGTTTTACTTCTGTTCCCAGTGGCTCATCTTGTTCGCCCCCTGGTGCACACAGCTTATCTTGGAGACTGCCGCCCTGAGTAGTGAAAGCAAACCACAAGTTGTTAGAAGTGGGTGACATGATCAGGTCCGATTTATTTTGGGGATTTTACTTTGTGACTTTGTGTGTAGACATTTCAAATATTCTCCTAAGGTTTTTATTGTGTACATATTCAAATAAATAAGCTAGCTGGCTTTAAATAATGTTATCCAAATATCTTGAATAGGCAGCCACTCTGAGCCTTGTGAAGGCTGACCTAGCCTTGTTAGTAGCTCAGTGCCCCTGGAAGTTCCCTGATAAGTCCATAGGCTTTGCCCTTTGGGTTGGAAAATAACTTGCTTTGGGAACAAGGAGACCACTGGGGTGACTTAAACACCTCAGTGTGGAAAGAAGAATAGTTGGGTTCTGCAAGAGTCAGGGTAAATGGCTTTTGTGACCCTATTAACACTAAAGATTAAAGAGGAAGAATTATTAGCTCTGACTCCATATTAAAAAGAGGGAGAAGAATTAAAGACATGAGGAATGACTCTAGGTTAAGAGTTGCTTGAAGAGTTATACCCTTTTAAGCTTTAATGAAAAATTCTCGTGTTTTTCTTTAATATAAGCATATGAAGATAAAAGAGCCAATCACTGACCTTGGAACAAGGAGAGAAAAAAATGGAGTTGGTTCCTGAGAAATAGAGCTTGTCAAAACAATACCTACCTAGGCAAAATTTAATAACCATTTTGGATAATAGTGCTATGCTAGTTTATTTTGCAAACCATGTACCCAGTACACGAGGGACTTCCTCTTCTGTTAAGCCTACAGGTTGACTTTTGGAGGAAGAATTTTCATTATCTCTTTAGGAAATAATTGTGTGAAAAGTCTATTGCTTCATTTTATAATTTTTACAGTTACTGTAATTGTGTGAGTTTAGAAGACAAAATTGGAGGAGGAAATGGCAACCCACTCCAGTGTTCTTGCCTGGAGAATCCCAGGGACGGGGGACCCTGATGGGCTGCCGTCTATGGGGTCACACGGAGTCAGACACGACTGAAGCGACTTAGGAGCAGCAGCAGAAGACAAAATAAATTTAAAAACTTGAAGACTACTCTGTGTAGCTGCAAATGGCTTACAACATGGCATCCACACACGACTGTGCTTTCCAAATTCTTGAGTGATTGGAAAATGCTTTTTATGTCTTGGGACAAGGAATATATAGATATACAAAATGTTAAATTGGAAGCTTACCCAAGGTACCAAGATATGATCGATATCAGACACCAGAATGAGTTGTGAGACAGAGCATCTGTTTGGAATTTCGAAGTAGGCGCTTAAAACCTGGTTTTATGACTCGTCAATCTTTTACTCACTTTGCGTACAGAAAAGAGCTGAGAAGGTTCCTGTCCATGGACAGGGAATTTTTGTAAAGGGCTTCTTTGGAGGAAGGTGCTGGTTGACTTATGAGTTTTGCCCCCTCTACCGTCAAGGGCAAGGTTTAGAAGGTAACTGCCTCTGGTCTTCAGCAAGTCTACAGTAAGTTATCTACATACGAATGAGTTCACAAGAGTACATCTGTAAGTCCAGTTTGTAAGTCCAACAAAGTTAGCCTAGGTTCCCAGTTAACACAATCAGCTAGGTAATACTGTATGTAATAGGTTTATTATACTTTTCACACAAACTATACATTAAAAAAATAAGCAAAAACACAAATAAAGACAGCATTTTTAATCTTACAGTACAGGGCCGTGAAAAGTACAGGAATACAGGCCAGCAGCTGGCATGGAGAGGCTGGCATTGAACGCAGAGGCAAGAAGACTTGCTGACTAGAGTGGGGAGAGGAGGTGGAAGGTGGTGGATCTGAAGGGGCATCAGCAACAGGAGATGGGGGCAAGCTGCAGTTTCACTTACACCTGAAGTTGATGGAAAGCCTGTTTACATCTTTGAGAGCTCACAATTTGAAGGTTCGTATGTAGCGTACTTCTGTACTTGGACATCTTAAAAGTGCACCTGTAGTTAGCCAGACACCATGGACAGGGTTTTTGCTTCCTATTATATATGGGGAATCTAGAACATGAGGGCTGGGCTGCCTAACTGCCTTGGCACTGGGGGACTGCATTCTTTCTGATATACTAATACTAGGATTAGCCTACATCCCCTGAATTTGTTCAGGTAAACAACTTGTGAGTATTTCCCATGAGAAATGTGGGTTATTCATGAGAGAGAGTTGGG